GTTTTGTGGCAGATTATCGAAACCTTGCAGTCGAGATAAGTGAACCAGCCAATGCTGTTAAATTTAGATTTTCTTTTCGCATTCATTCTTTTTCAATTCCATTGAAAGCATTTGCAATATGGTTAAATCCCATTAAAAATTGTCATTTTTTTTTATTGAGCAATGCTAATAACTTTCTAAGCATTTTAGTCTTCTGTTCGAGAACATCATTGTTGATGAGAAGTTTACATTTAAAGAACTTGAGCCATATGATTCAAAAGAGTCACAACCATAAATGAATAAAAAACCGTCCAATTAGACTGACAGGAAACGCGAAACAAATGGGGAAATTGCATACGAATGATTCTGAACTCTATTTAACTTATGGTGTATTCATCTGTTCGTTGCCGCTACAATAGCTAAAAGATCTTTTCATTGAACACAAGCACAGGTAGAATTTTCATCTTTTCCTCTCTTTTTCAGGAATTTTATAATTTTTCTCGCCCACTTTGTATTGTTAGTATTTTGCAACTATTACATGCATTTGTGAGAGATCTTAGCGAGCTCTATTGAGCTTTCCAAAGTCAAGCATTATAGCTAGACCGAGTTGCAGTGAATTTCTTATCAAGAGTAATTACAAATTTATGGGCCTTTTTAAACCATGAAATATTATTGTTTTATGAATTTCAATGGCAAATAATGAAGTGTACAGGTCTTCATTTCGTTTAATAGAGCACTGGTTGGTTGGATTTACTTGTAGACTGTTCCTTTCTCCGTATTTAATGATTTGGTCCTAAATAATCCGGCTCTTTTTCCCACCTGGCTTATTGCGACAAGCTTTTGTATAGCACCAAATTCAACATTCATCTGCCATTATACTTTACAGATATAATGGTCTTCTTTTAAAGGAATTAAGTTTGGACTTGTCACAATTGGATCGGTTCATTCGGTCGTAGATCCCATTTACAATGTGGTATTTCCTTCATGATCGTGAAAATAATAGTTTTCAGTTCTAGGAGAATACAATGAGTTTGCTTGACGATTCAGAACCCTTTGTAGCAAATGGAAATCCCTTCTTTTGGCAGGATTAAGGAACACGGAAGTTGGTAAGAGTTCATTCTCTGCTCTATGTGTATATATAAGATATTTTACTCCGCTGTCGGGACATGTTTTAAACTGAGCAAACAGAGAAGCTAACATTGATAAACAAGCGTTCTGCTCTTAGGAGAGTGATACCGACACCAACATGGTTTTGAACGATACAGAAAAGTGGACAAATTCCACTACCGTGGTGAGCCAAGAAAGCTCATTGTATGCTTGCCCCAAATCACCAGATTTGACGTTTGATCTGGATGCAACCACCTTCCCTTGGATTTTAGTGAGTGTCAAATCGTTCGCTTGTCTTTCGATTTCTTTTCTCAACTTACTTGTATTGACAGCGGTGAGAGTAAGAAAGGAGCTGTCCAAACATTCCTACGTGCTGTTGTCCAGCCTAGCCGGTGCAGACTTCCTGGTGGGAACTCTCACGATGCCCTTCTCCGCTAGTCTCGATGTATTACTCGCCATCCGTAGAGTGACATACTTCTGCACGTTAGACATTGTCAATGTGTACTTGATGTACTGCGCCTCCTGGTGTGCACTTTATCACATGACAGCGATTGCTTGGGAGAGGTTCGTAGCCATAACAAAGACAGTGCTCTACCCAGTGATAGTTACAAGAGGCCGCCTCAGAACGCTGGCCACAGTAGTTTGGATGGGGGCAATATTGACGACTTTACCGCCCTTTGGGTTGGAAGCTGCTGGTTTGGACCTCATGTTCGTTGAAATGTGGATATTTTTCGCGAGCATCTGCGGTGCAGTTTCCTTAATAGCAACCGGCTATTTTTACGTCAAGATATACATCGAAGTGCGCAAACGCAAGATCGACCAAATAACTCAAGTGACAGTTCTGGCTCAAGCAAAGCTCGAGACCAAAGTTGCCAAGACAGCTGCCTTGTTAACCCTCGTTTTGGTAATTTCGTTTGTACCAGGTATAGTTGTCAGCAGTTCCCCAACCCTACGCACAAGCACTAGCATTCGAGTGTCAGAACTTATTATGCAGATGGGCTCTATCGTGAATCCGCTGCTATATTGCTACAGAGACCGTCGCTTTAGAAACGCCTTGCTGGAGATGTTAAGGATGAAAAAGCCGCAAGTTATCCAGCGGCCAGCAAATGCAGCCATGCCAGTGCATCGTGTCCAAGAAAAAGTCCCCATGAACTCCAAGAATGCGTTGCCGAAGGAAACCTCCCGAGAAACTCGAACTGATGGCTTTACACGTTCAGCATCCTGTGCATCACTAAACACAGAATTAAATCGGCTATCCCATCAGACTACTTGCCACAAGACGCTGACGAGATCCATGTCAGCTCCATCGTTTGCTCAGTTCAACGCCGCCTTCGAATCCAATCAAATGCCGCTTCCGTCCACTTTGACTAGGACAGAGACATTCCATGGGGAAATTAAACCTGCATCTAAGCCTGAAAACTAGTGGCGATTAGATGCGGGGTAGATGAAATGATGGCTATCGAGTAATTAATTGATTGAATACGAATCGTATGTATATATATATATATATATTTTTTTTTTTGATTTGATCTGTAAGAGGCAATACATGATTCATAAGATATCTAACAGCCAGCGATTCACGAAAGTACATGCGGAAAGTAAATAATTACAATACTGAAAATCAAACTGATTACAAAAAAAATTATTTACTTCTGTGGTGTTATCCAGTCAGAAATTACTGCAGAACAGGTCAGCGAAACGGGAAACAAACAGGTCAGCAGAAAAACTACAGGCTAGCTAACGTGGAATAGAACTTTCTCTTTCACAACTGAGATCCCAAGGTAAACTTACTTAAATGATTGCGCCATCGACTGCCCTCGTGCAGTTTAGTACTGGCAATATTTGATTTTCAACAAACCCAAGTGTTATGGGAAATAAGGGTATGTGCCTTTTGAAATAACAATACCTAATTGCCAAAAGAGTTAGGTCTATGTCGTAGTGAAGTGATAATGAAGTTCTATATACTCTTAATGGAAAAGTTCCAACCAGCCCAAAAGTGAAGATCGTTTAACAACTGAAAGAACAAGACAGTTGAAAAGGACTAACTCAAACGTTTTCTGCGTTAGTTCGTTCGTTGCAAAGTAAAGAAAGAGTTTTCGATTTAAACTCTTTTTTTCTACCTTATGACAGAAAGTTTGGGTGTCTCTCTCGCTTTTTCATTCGATTAGCTCTGTAAAGATAATTCGTCAGTAACGATATCAAAGCGCAGTATTCATGCATCAGTTAAGCAAGGAGTAAGGCAAAAGTTTGTGATCACTTACCAAAGTATTAAATGATAATAAAACAGAGGAAAAGTATTGATGCTTTGCAGTTAAAAAAAAAAATTCGTTCATCATTGGTGTCAAATAGCTCTCAAGGCAAGTCGCTTTTCTGTAATTTGTAGCTAAATCTAACTCACCATAGTAGCACGGTATTGAGGTTAAAAAGAGGTGTGTACATTTAATGATAATGATACTAAAAACAACCATAATAATAACAGTAATGATAATGATTTATTCAGGCTTTCCAAACCGTGAGTTTGGCTCTTCATCCAGAATTTACGTCTACAAACATAATATAAATCTATAGTTGAAAAACCACACCAGCCTCTATAAATATTCGAAGGGTAAGCTTAACTTGACATTATGAAATATTGGAGTCAATAAAACTTATTTGCGTGTGTTACGTCATTGAACAGGGTTAAGCAAATTATTTAAGGGCCACAAACAGACGAGAATTTTAAATTATTTTGACGCGCTTGATTAGCCCACGTCGTAGAGCGCCGGATTCTTGTATGAGAGATCAAGGGTTTAAATCCCAGACTGGACCAACATTCAGGGTCTCAAAATAACTGAAGAGAATGTGCTGCCATTGCTATGACGTCTGCAAATGGAGAGAAATTCAAGTCTTCTCGGATAACGATGAGAAATTATAAGTGCCGTCTCGAGTCTCTCCTGAACCTCCTTCCCGCCCTCCCCTCTCCCGCCAAAAAAAAAAAAAAAAGGGGAACGCCCGCAGGTGTCCATTAACCTAACCGGAAAAACCATTTGGCCTCATAGTTTTCTTTTTAAGTCTTTTATCTTTTAAATTATGGCCAGGGAAACTACAACGATGACATCCACCATATGTAAATTGATTCAATTTTAAACTGGATACCGCGGATGTTAACCAAATTAAATTAATTTTTTTTCTCTTTTCTTGTCTTGTCTGCTTTTGGGAATTAAAGGGTAAAACAACTGCAGTATCATTGTTCACAATCGAATCGCGCAGTTGACAGCTCGGAAGTGAGATTGTTCCCTTATTCTTCGGAAGGAACAAGTCAAGTTTCGCCATCCAGAACACAACTGCAGCATGGTTACGTGCTGGAAAGCCGTATATATAATAAGAGATATTTATATCAGTCGCGCTGTATCTTAGCAAATGAGTCAGTAAAAGACACGAGACTTTGTTTGGTTACAACTGACAAGCTTTAATTCACATTCAGTTCTACTCTGTTTGTTCATGAGGAGTGTACCGCATGTACCCTTTACCTGAGGGCATTTCTCTGACTTTGACGCCCTTTGGAAATAGTTTCTCAAGATCTTCATCTTTCACCGTGGGAAGAACCATACAGTCTTTGCCAGGCTGAAAAAGGTCAAGTGATAAAACAATAAATTCACTTCAATGCAAACATAGCAACTGACAAGGAGGCCAGTTTATTTAGGCGGGTGCCTTGCCGTCGTGGCAGAAAATCCATCGTAGTTAAATAAATTATGGATTTTGGAAACGAGGTTGTCAGGAAAATATCAGTGGGCAGATCTAAGAGAGGGGTACAGGGGATGTGCATCCCCTCCCCTTTGAGGTGACCTGAAGCTTTCTGATATAACTACACGGTTATAGAAAACCTGCCGTAGCGTTCATCTAAGCTGTTCACTTTACCTTTTTGTCTAGTCTTAGGTCTTACTGTTCGTCATTCGGTTTCATAATATGTTTGCGTCAGCCGTAAGTTACGCCATTCATTAGAGGCGTACCCCCTTCTGAGAAAAAATGTTGGATCCACCCCTGATGTGTTGCTGTTGTTGTTGTTGTTGTTTTTATTTTGGTACTTATAAACTACGAAGATTATCAATCCGAGTGATAAATTGTTCTTTGCATCTAAACCGTATTCAATGGCGTCCAAGAACATTTTAGTTTTTGCTTTAGAATTCAACCCATGCCTCCCAGATATCGGTTGAGTGTTACAAACTAGAAAGCTACAAACTTTAGGGAACAAGTTAGGAGAGACGTAAATTGTAACTTTTTTTCGTTGCCCGCATATGCATCTAACGCCAAATAATGTATACGAACTCATCAAGCCTCTCAACTACCTCAAGTGCTCTACTTTTTCAACAAAGACAACCTACCTCCCAGTCTGCAGGAGTGGCCACTTGTTTTGTGGCAGTCAACTGCAATGAGTCTATCACACGTAATAGTTCACTGCAAGCGAAGTAAAATAGCCAGTTACTCTCGGGTGATTTCCCAAATGATCCGGTAAGGAGTGCTTGTCGGAAATCGTGAATCAAAGACCACTCTGGGCGTGGCTTAGACTTAATTTTTAACCCTTTGACCCCAACGACTGATCAGCATCTAATTTCTTATCACAATATCACCTCTGAATCACACATTAAGGTCACGAGATTAAAGGGAAAGGTCACCAACTAAGGAAGTTCTTGATTTTTAAACAAATTCTCTTTGTCAGCTTCTTAGAATTGTCTAGAGAAAGTATGGAGAATATGCACATTGATGTAAGGGTGTAAAGGATTAATGACTTGACTTACTGCAAGTTCCGTCCACACGAGGCGGGATACAGGAATGACAACTTAAGCTTCTTGTCTGGTCCGATAACGAACACCTTTAACATTATGAAAAGCAAAAGGAAACTGATAAAGGTACACCACATGGTTGGAAATATCAGTTTACGGGAACACATAGTATTTATTTCGGGGGAGGGGGGTGGGAAGGGGATTAGAAGATCTGAAAGGATCACACGGTTTTCAGGAGGAATAGAGGGAGGAGAAGCGTCGCCAACAGATTATTAAGGGGGGTTATAGAAAACTGACTGCCAATTTACTGCTAATTACGGGGATCATAAGGTCATTACAGAGGTTAATAGGGGATAAGGTAAATTTTATTTTGACACGACCAAAATCCTCCAACTTCCTCCCCCTCCCCCCTCCCCCCGCAATAAATAATGACCGGTCCTTAATGTGAACCACATCAAGGAGGGAATGAGATTGCGTCTGTTTGGGAAAGGGTGGGGCGGGTAGGGGTGACTTTAAGGAAAGTGATGCAGTTTGGCTCACGAATCTTGCGCTTTGCTTGATTTATTCGAAATCTTTGGTGGCTCCATTCCTACCTTCAACTGAATGATTATTTGAAAGAATCATGAGAATTCGTGGTCATGGCTGATGTTGAAGATACACTCGATTGCAAAAGAAATTGATTCTAAAAAGCGTAAGTAATGAAAGATGAGACTTAACGGCTTTTCATCCATGCTTTCCTGAAAGAAAATAATGGTAGTGCACAAAGATTTTCATGAATGATCAAAAAGTAAAGCGTTGACTGCGTGACTGTGCGAATATTTCCCATAATGCCATTAGGTCTCATCGTTCATGGTTTATGCTTTTTAGGTTTCAATGCTTTTTTAGTGGAGTGTCTGTTAGACTGATTCGAAAGACAACCGGAGCTTAACCAAGTTTCTGGCAACATGAAACAACTAGGAGTATAATTTCTTTCTCCCGCCCCAAGGGTTTGTTTTACTGAGATTTTACTGATATCTACTTATACTTCTTGTGAAGTTGATGAGGAGCGCTTTGAGGGAAAAGTGTCTCAATTTTCTTGAACAGGTCTCTATTTCGGATCTTTCTATCATACGCGCATTGCAAAAACCGCTCTGCCATCGCGTATTTATTTGGAAACACGGTCAAAACGCCTACCGCACGGCAAGTAAGTGGCATTCCTTGAGCATCCTTTTCGTCAGGATCGACCATTCCCAGTTTCACAGCCAGTTCACGCCCTTGGTCGGCAATAATCGGATAAGGGAAGTCCATTAGGTCTGTCTTGATGAAGGCCTTGATATCTTCCATCCATCCTTTGTGTGTGTCAACATCATCACATGACAAAGCAATGAGCTTTACACCGCGCTTGGTGAATTCTGGGATCATTCCAACCAAGCAGCCCAACTCAGTGGTACACACGGGTGTGTAGTCGGCGGGGTGAGCGAATAAAATGGCCCATCTATAGAGAGTAACAACAGTGCACTACAATGATGCATCGTACTAATAAGGAATTCGCAGCCTGATGTGATGTTGTAGTTCTTATTATAATATCAGTTTTTCCCGTATAACCTTGAGCTTCTGCAGCCTACTTTTACCCATGACTTCTTCGGCACGTGGCCATGGAAGAAGAGATTTATCACATGCAAATTTCCTATTTCGCGGATTGTAAAGCCACGAACAAGCTGCACGGGCACTTGAGGTACGCTTTTTTGCGCCAAACCGCGTAAGTTTAGTTTCAGTTTTGCCGTATTATTTGACGATAGGGCTGAAGGAAATTGGATTTCCGGAAGGGAGCTAACTTGAACCCTCAAGCTCTGAGGAAGGGAATGGGCTCAGTCATGACAAAG